CAGATTGACTGCCCCAGTTAGGGAATTCATATGCTGTGAAGCCCAGCTGGCTGGTGTCATTACAGTCGAGACAGTGTTAAGGAAGAGAATCAGCTTTCATCAGATAGATGATGGAGCAAACTTGAGGCAGTGATGGTCCTACCCTGCTTTATATTAATAAATGAGGGAATAGTCTGCTTGACCTTATCCTCATCAAGTTAACTGTTGCATATACATCTGTTCATGACTGGATGACTGGAGTCACCCCTGCACCATTATCATGCTGTCAAGTCCCATCTCCTCACCGAGAATATCCGCGTATTGCGAGGCTCACTACCATCATGTTCAATGGCATAGATTTAGAACAAATTAGGAAGCTCAAAACTGGTGATGTGTGCCTGCAGTTCATGAATCTTACATCGCACACTAATACTCACACTTATTCTCAGTCTGTCACATTCTAACTGTGAGGTTTGAGTTGTTCTGATTTTCAGTGTATCCACAAGCAACCAATGTTCCTGATGCAGTTCTTAGTAATTGGCTGCCACCTTGTGACGAAAAGTATATGCAACAACCACTGCAAAGATAGGTAATTCGCAAATTCTCATGTCAGCTGAGAACGAAATACCTGGAAACACTTCAATCTGAAATGTTTGAAATGGCTCCCTTGGCAGTGTCTCAGTGGTTAATTGAACCTCAAATCCATTGACAACCCATTTTGGCTTGAAGTTTAATAATTGTCCTCAGCCTTTCATGGAGTGGAATGTGTGGTTTTGCTCGTATTCAATTTACCCTCTAAGTGAAAGAGAAATGGAACATTTGGGCACTCTCAGGAAACTGGTATGAACTGCAGGTTTCTCTGGAAACTAAGACTGTTTGAGGCTAATAAAAGGCACAAAGCCTCAGATTACCCAGTGGTGTAGGGCCAGAAGACTGAAAAAAAAAAAGGCTAGATCCAGTCACTAGCACCAGACAAATGCTAGGTGCATTTATAGTGACAGCAATTCCTCAGTTAATTGATGTTAATTCATGTTGATTTTAGAAATTGTTGAAGTAAAAGTTCTGATCAATCTTAGGCAAAGGCAGTGTGTTACAATCCACAGTGAGTGGGGAAATAGAAGAGCAAGTGAATACTCACTGTATTTATTCCTCCAGATTGGCTTGCTGAACACATGGCACCTAAACTTCCCAAACCTGCGATGTCATCCTCAAAATGGCCACCTCTGTAAAAGAGAAATCACCATTAACAGAGAACACCGTCCTAGACTCATGAAGGACTGACAGAGGTGTCATCTTTTGTAAAGGTCACGGAGTTCCTGCAGTTTTTGTATCCAAGTCATGGCTTGTGCCCCTATCTATGCCCCTATCCAAGCTCATCCAGGAGCTGGTACATTGACATCCAGCCAAGAAGGAAGAATGATTTTCAGAGAGTGAAAAGCCAACCATGGCTAACCAAGGATGTTAAGGAGACAACAAGGTGCAGGGCTGGATGAACACAGCAGGCCAAGGAGCATCATAGGAGCAGAAAGGCTGACGTTTCGGGCCCAGACCCTTCATCAGAAAAGGGGGAGGGGAAGGGGGTTCTGAAATAAATAGGGAGAGAGTGGGAGGCGGATAGAAGATGGATAGAGGAGGGGATAGGTGGAGAGGAAACAAACAGGTCAAAGAGGTGGGGATGGAGCCAGTAAAGGTGAGTGCAGGTGGGGAGTTAGGGAGGGGATAGGTCAGTCCAGGGAGGACGGACAGGTCAAGGGGGCGGGATGAGGTTAGTAGGTAGGAGATGGGGATGCGGCTTGAGGTGGGAGGAGGGGATAGGTGGGAGGAAGAAAAAAAAGTGTCAAAGGAGGCCAAAATCAGTGAAAACCCCAAAGACCTGGAGAAATTCAGAATCTACAAAGGAGAACAAAAAAGATAATAAAGACTGAGGAAATAAACTATGAGGGCAAGCTAGCGAGGATTTAAAAAATCTGTGGGTAAGAGCTTCTTGCATTATATAAGAAGGAAGAATATGTCAAAATGAACATCAGCCCCTTAGAAAATGAATCTGGGGAGAGAGCTTTGTCGAACAAGGAAATGACAGAGGAGTTCAACAGATACTTTTCATCAGCCTTTTTGGTGGAACATACTTTGAACAGCCATGATTTGATTTGATTTGATTTATTTCTTGTCGTGTATTTATGACAAATACAGTGAAAAGTGTTGTTTAGTGTTGCCACTCTGCGGCATCGTCTTAAAGCACAGAAAATAAACCAAAACACAGAAAATAAACCCAGAAGAATAAAACAATAAACTTCATCTTCTAGCCTTATCTCAATTAAGTGAGGTGTTCTTTGTAACAGCATCCGTTTCTAGCTCAGCTCCTGCACCCTGATCCTTGAGTCCATGCAGTGAAATTGACGTCACTGCAGCAAACATGCTTCACCACCCCGCAGCCACCAGAACAAAGAGTTACCACTCTCTGGTGCCATTCCACCTCCCCCAGTGCCGCCATGATTTCATGGTGGGTTGATTTCACCAATGCAGCTGCCGCTGGTGCCGCAGGGCCCTTCAATGGGCCCAAAATCGCTGCCATCACTGCCTCTACCATCAGCTACCCAGACGTAGCCGTGACCTGGAACCTTGGCTCAGCCTGTGAGTCTGAAGCACTGGATTAAGGACGAGAGAATACAGGGGAGGAATTAAGTACTACCACCATCACTCGAGAATTAGTTTTAGACAAACTAATGGGGCTAAAGGCAGATCAGTCCTATGGCCCTGGTGGCTTGAATCCTCGGACCCTGAAAGAGGAGCTACAGAGATAGTGGATGCATTGGGTGTAATTTTCCTAAAGTGCTTGGGTTCTGGAAAAGTACCAGAGGCTGGAAAACTGCCAATGAGACCTTGCTATTCGAAAAGTGAGGGAGGCAAAAAGTGGGTAACTACAGACCAATTAGCCTTAGATCTACAGTTGGAAAAGTATTGGAATCAATTAAAAACCAAAAGAACTGCGGATGCTGTAAATCAGGAACAAAAACAAAGTTGCTGGAAAAGCTCAGCAGGTCTGGCAGCAGCTGTGGAGGAGAAAACAGAGTTAACGTTTCGGGTCTGGTGACCCTTCCTCAGAACAATTGGAACCAATTATTGAGGAAGTCATGGCAGAACATTTGGGAAATCATAATCTAATCAAGCAGAGTCAGCATGGCTTCATGAAAGAGGAATCGTGTCTGACTAATTTATTAAAGCTCTTTGAGGACATTTCCACTGCAGTGGACAGCAGAGAACCAGTATCGCAACCAATTACGGCCCCATCATTTACTCTCGATCATCAGTAATGTGATGGAAGATTTCAGCAACAGTGTTATCAAGCAGCACCTACTCAGCAATAGCCTGCTCCATGATGCCCAGTTTTGGTTCTGCCAGGGCACTCAGCTCCTGACTTCATTACAGTCTTGGTTCAAGAATGGACAAAAGAGCTGATTTCCAGAGATGAAGTGAGAATGACAGCCCTTGACTGCAAGGCTCCATTCAACTGAGTGTGGTGTCAAGGAGCCCTAGCAAAACTGGAATCGATGGGTATTAGGGGTAAACTCTCCACTGGTTGAAGTCAAAGCTGGTATGTTGGAAAATGGTTGTGGTTGTTGGACGTCAGTCATCTGCAGGACATTCTCTGCAGGAGTTTCTCAGAGTAGTGTCCTCAGCCCAACCATCTTTTGCTGCTTCATCAATGACCTTCCCTTCATTATAAGGTCAAAAGGACTGCACAATGTTCAGCACCATTCGCGACTCCGCAGATACTGAAGCAGTCTATGGCCAAATGCAACAAAATCTGGACAATATTCAGATGGGCTGACAAGTGGCAAGTAATATTCGCTTCACACAAATGCCAGACTATGACCATCACCAATGACAATGAATCAAACCACTAGCCCTTGAATTTCAATGGTGTTACCACCACGAAATGCCCCACTATTAACATCCTAGAATTACCGTTGACCAGAAAATCAACTGGATTTCCCATATGAATACAAAAGCTACAAGAGCAGATCAGAGGCGAGGAGTACTGCGGTGAGTTACTTTCTTCCTTACTCCCAAAGCCTGTCCGTCATTGACAAAGCACAAGTCAGGAGTGTGGTGGAATACACCCCACTTGTCTGAGTGGGTGTAGCTCCAACAACACTCAAGAATCTTGAAAACATTCAGGATAAAGCAGCTGGCTTGTTTGGCCCCAAATCCACAAACATCTGCTCCCTCCACCACCAATGCTCAGTCGCAACATTGTGTACTATCTACAAGATGCAATGCAGAAATTCAATGAGATCCTTAGGCAGCACCTTCCAAACCCACAAGCGCTTCAATCTAGATAGACAAGGGCAGCAGATACATGGGAACACCACCATTCATAAGTTCCCTTCCAAGGCACCCATTATCCCGAGTTGGAAATGTATCATTGTTCCTTCACTGTCACTGGGACACAATCCTGGATTTCCATCCTGATCAGTTTAGTGGGTCAACCCACAGCAGGTTGACTGCTGCAGTTCAAGAAGGCAGCTCAACACCATATTCTCAAAGGTAACTAGGGATGGGAAATAAATGCTGGACCAGCCAACAACACCCAATCCCATGAATGAATAACAAAGAAAAGTTAGATACAAAGATAGTGGATACATTGGTTGTAATTTTCCAAAAATCCTTGAAGAAGCACTAGAGGATTGGAAAATAACGAATTTGATACTCCTATTGAGAAAGGGAGGGAGGCAAAAAGCAGTTACTATAGGCCGATTAGCCTCACATCGATTGGAATCAATTCTTAAGGAAATAATAGAAGACCATTTGGAAAAACATAATCTGATCAAGCTCAGTCAGCATAGCTTCATGAAGTGGAAATTGTGCCTGACTGATTTATTAGAGTTTTTTGAGGAAGTCTCAACTGAAGTGGATAGAGGATGTGTTGTCTTTGGACTTAAAGAAGACATTCAACAATGGACCTCACAAGTGGTTAAGTCGTCAGATAAGAGCCCATGGTGTTAGAGGTGGTATATTGGTATGCAAAGAGAATTGACTCATGGACAGAAAACAGTGAATGTTGTTAAGAGGCTCTTTCTCAGATTGGCGACCTGTGACAAGGTGTTCCACAGGGGTCGGTGCTGGGACTGCAGTTGTTTACAATGTATATTAATGACTTGGAGGAAGGAAATGAATGTACAATAACCAAATTTGTAGATGACAGAAATATAGCTGGAAAGGCATGTTGTGAGGGATACAATCAGTTTACAGAGAGACATTGGACACAGTGGGCTGACCAATAAAGCCAGTGTGCCAAAGATCTTCACCACCCTGTCTGTGACACCACTTTCTCAGAATTATGCACCTGCACCCCTTGGTCTGTCTCCGAGCAAAGATTAAACAGGTTGGGACTCTACTTGTTATGGATTGAGCCAGTCATGCATTACTGATCTGACTATGGCTTAGTTCCAGGTTTTTTTTATTGAATTCAAATTCCACCATCTGCTTTGGCGAGATTCGAACCTGGGTCCTCAGAACATTCTAGGTCTCTGGATTAACAGTGTGATAGTATGTGTATAACAGTGTGTGTACCTGTGTCTACCTGTGTTAGGTTCGACTGGCTGCGGTACAATATGTAACTTTTGGGACAGCACTATGACATAGTGGTTAGCACTGCTGTCTCAAGGCACATAGTACTGCTGTTTCACAACACCAAGGACCCAAGTTTGATTCCAGCCTTGGGTGACTGTCTGTGTAGAGTTTGCATGTTCTCCCCCTATCTCCCTCTTTCCATCCACAGCCTAAAGATGTACTGGTTAGGCCAAGCTAAATTGCCCCATAATGTCCAGGGATGTGCAGTCTAGGTGCATTAGCCATGGTAAATATAGGGATAGGGACTGGGTCTGGGGGAGTACTCTTCGGTAGCTCAGTGCAGACTCGGTGGGCCTCTTTATGCACTGTAGGAATTCTCTGATTCTATGATTTCAGAAGGATGAGAGGTGATCACATTGAAGCATCAAGAGGAGACAATAGCCTAGTCATATTATTGCTAGAGCGTTAATCCAGACAGTCAGGTAATGTTCTCAGGACCTGAGTTCGTTTCCGACCATGGCAGATGGTGGAATTTGAATGCAGTAAAATAATCTGGAATTAAGAGTCTAACAATGACCATGAGTCCATTGCCAATTGTGGGAAAACTCCATCTCACTCACTAATGTCCTTCAGGGAAGAATACTGCCAT